ATATACATACACACCTTACATTACATTACACTACATTTGTGTATGTATGCATGTATATATATATATATGCATGCACGATGCATTTTCAGCCTCAACTTGACAGCGATCCTCCATTTTTGGCACTCGTACTGTAGGTCAGAGCGTGAGCGCATTTAAGCTGTAAATCCGTAAGAACTTCGCCGGACGAGGATGACTACGCACATGCATGCAAGATTGCGCAACCCAATACCTATACAATATTAGTCCGCATGCAGCTCCTACAAACTGTTAATCATTGCCGATGCACCATTCCAAGCAACTCCATGAGGCATTTGAGGTGACATGCCGTCACCATCGGGATGTTTCCCAGGGTCCCACGGGACAGGTTGGAGCGGGAACCCTGTTTGGTGACGCGCTCACCCTTGGTGGACGGCTGGCTCCTCCGCCTGGCCTTCGACGGAGAGATTCCCAGGCTGGGAAGGTAGGGGAAGATTCCTCCTTCGACGGAGAGCCCCAGGTGGAAGTGAATGCGAAGGTCCAATTTCCACCGGCTGACCTTGCCAGTTCGACAAGTGAGTACAGCACACCTCCCCCGAGAAACGACAAGTGCGGGTTCGCAGGTACTTGCGACGCAGCAGCGCAGTGCAGCGCTTTGAAGTGGAGCCACTGCTCGCAGATTTCGTGGGACTGACCCGATTCCTGGAGGAGAGCTGGAAACGACCGGTTTGAGCTTGGACAACGGGCTTGAGTTTGGAGCAAGTCATGACCTGGATGTGCGCAACATGTTCGGAGAGACATTCTTGCAGCGCTGGCACTTCTCGGGACTCTCAGGATGAATGTGCCATTTCTTATTTTGTTTGAGAAAGTGTGCAGCTCACCCATTTAGTTGTGTAGTATGTGTGAAAGCAATGCATTCGTTCTCGGCATGTGCACCATGTAAAGTTGGAACCATTTGTTTGGACGCCATATAGGCACAAGAGTCCCCGTATGTTGTGAAAAGGTGCGCTGTTGTCATGGCATGTCGTATCGGCCGCTGAAGCACTGTGAGATTGGTGACGCGGAGCTGACTGGGACGATCCAGGATGAGTGATAGATGGAGGCCGGCCTGGCGACCTAATGGTTTGGGCATGACCACCACCTTCGACGAGAGGCGCGCTGCTCCTGGGAGTGATCGGCAGGGTTCCTGGACTACCCCCTCCCATTCTCATTCACGTTGGGAATGGAATGACCAGGATTGGGAGGAGGAGCTTCCGGAGGGCGATCCGTGGGGCAATGGCGACCCCTGGTCGGGAGGTGGGGGCACGACGGACGGCTGGCTGACTGACTCGCAAATGCGGGAGTTCAACACGGCTAGAATCCCAAACGCCACAGCCTTTGAGGACGGACGCTGGGTGGGGGACAAGGCAAGCTGCATATGGGGGTTTCGATGAATACCATGAAGGTGAACGTGATCGCAACAAACCCTCGGAGAAGCTGCGGTGCCCTCCTTCGATGGCGAGAGCTCCTCAGAGGCTGATTTGGGCAGCCAGGAGCTATGTGAGAAAGGTGCAGGTTTGGTTGAGGTGCACGAAGATGGCCCCCAATCGGAGGGCCTTAGCTTTGTACAATGAGCTCACAGGCCGTGCATGGATCTACGCCGAGGAGTTGGACGTCGATCGCCTGGCGACAGATGGTGGCGTGTCCTACTACCTCGAATGGATTCAGACCAGGTTCATGGAGGTCGAGATCACGAAGGTGTCGAACATGATGGGCGACCTCTTCAGAAGATGCCGGAGGAGGTCTGACCAGTCCATCAGAGACTTCAACGTGGAGTTTGAAAGGTTGGTGTTGAGGCTTCGCGACATCCATTGTGAGCTTCCGGCCATGGTCAAGGGATGGCTATACCTGGACAAGCTGCGCCTCACGGAGCATGAAGAACTCTCCCTCCTGTCCACCAGTTCGATGCTGCCTAGGCAGCACTCCTACAAGACAGGTCATTGAGGCGACCTGCTGCTGGGAATGAGACATCCACGTGGAAGGGCAGGGGAACTTGGAGACAGCAGAAGCATTCGGTCCACATGACCAACAATGAGGAGGAGCGTTCAAGCGAAGAAGATTCGCTTGGCGATGACGAGGAGGGTCTGGTTTCCGAGGACCTTGCAGCCGAGGAGTACCAGGCCTACATGACCTACCAGAACGCCAAGTCCAAGTACAAGGAAGCGCTCAAAGGGCGTGGAGCTGATATGGAGGAGATCAAAAAGAGGTCAGCCGAACGTCTGAAGCTGGCCAAGGAGAGATCTTATTGCTCTGCCTGCAAACGCAAAGGTCATTGGCATAAAGATCCTGAATGCCCCTTGAGGAGCAAAAGTGCTGGCAGCCATGAGGCCAACGTCACCGTGCGCTCGGCCCAAATGTGCGACGTCGTGCATGATTGCTATGTCACGGCCAAGAACGACACGGTGGACGACGATTACCTCAAGGGCAAGTTGCTGGCCATTGTGGACACTGCGTGCACAAAGGCTGTAGCAGGGCATGACTGGTTCGAGCGGTACAGCGACATGAACGAGGGCTTGAACTTTGAGCCGCCTCAGATCTATGAGCATGAAGAGTTTTTCCGTTTTGGAGCCTCCAGGGTTTTCACCTCGCACTTTGGCATCGCAGCCTGGTTTGCCGTAGAAGGCCAATGGTTTTGTGTGCGAATTGCCATAGTTCCGTGCAAGGTGCCCCTCCTTTTGTCCAGGCCAGTACTGGCCGAATTGGGAATGCAGTACGACCTCGCTGCACAGACAGCACGGCTCAACGAGCTTGGTTTGGAGAAAGTCAAATTGATGAACAGCCCAACCGGCCACCCAGCACTGGTTGTGAATGATTTTCGAGGCTTGAAGCCACCTCGCGTTGCCATTCCGGCAGCTGCAGAGGTGTATGTGCCGTCCGCTCGAGCATACAAGGGAGCGCGTGCAGAGCTGTGTCGACCTCTCTTTTACCCCAAGCCGTTGAACATCGAGGTTCAGAACATGTTAGCCGCTTCGGACATCTTTGGGGGCAACAGTTTTTTGTGTTGGTGGAGAGGGACAAACATCACCAAGGACTTTTGGATAGAGACGGATTCCGAGTTCGTTCGAGTACATGTCACACCCCGTCGTGCATCGTTTCGGCCATCGTCATGGAGAACTCCACTCATTGGATTGAAAGATGCCCTTTTGAGTCGCATAGGAGGAGAACGGACCACTGAAGCTTTGCTGTGTTTGTCGGAGGGCACATTGGTACACGTTGACCACAGCCACTCGGAAACCGAAGTCACCATTTTGGATGGCCCATGGGTCGGACGCAGCCGCTTTAGCAAACTCAAAGAGGTCTTGACGACATCGGTTGCTGACGGCCACTCCAGCACCGTGAATGCCCTCCACAACCACCTCGCCATGGCACATGAAGAAAGCGCAGCTGCTGGCGGAATTGGAAGAGACGGGTGTGGTCGCACACTCATCATGGACAGTGCCGGAACTCCGATCCCTTCTGATCGAGCAACGGCAGGCAGCGGCACCTCCCAAGGAAGAGGACAAGCTGAAAGGCCTGAGCAAGATGACCTTGGCGCAACTCACGGAGGAAGCCAAGAAGGAGAACATCCCCATCCCAGCAAAGGCGACCAGAGGGCTCTGCGTCTGCTAAGAGAGTCAAAGAGCACGCCCTCGCAGACAGTAGTCCCGTTCGGTCGCTACAAGGGCTGGATGTACCACGAAGTTCCCATGCAGTGCATCGAATGAGCAATCCGGGAGACCAAGAGCAACCCGAACTCGCACGAGGATCTGGTTCGCCTGGCTTCGTGGGGGTCTCAACAGAAGGAGCGCCTGGCCGAGAGCAACGCCTACCCGAAGAAGACGGACCTGGGCCGATGGTGCCGCCTCCGCCAATCAAGGGAGAGGCCAGCAGCTCAGATGGGTCGTGGATCAGGGCATCGCCGCAATCCAAGGGCTCTCGCAACCCGGACCCGACACCGACATAGCGGACGATGTGCTCGAGGAACAGGCCCGTGGTGAAGAAGCGCTGATGGCCTACATCCTGGGGGAGGACGACCAGCTGAACAACCAGGTCCCGGTCATCATCTCGGACGATGAGGACAAGGATGGGGCAAGCGTGGGGGCATCAGGCGAGACTGAGTATAAGGTGGGAGCCATCAACATCGAGGACGACTCCAACGAGACGAGTGAGGGCACCGAGAATGGCACCACCAGTGGAAGCGAGGATGAAGCTTCCGAGAGGTCTCGAACACCGCCACCGGATGAATCCCGCCGGAGAGCGGTTGAAGGTATGAGGCGACGGAGATTTCAATGCCGGAGCGCAAAGCAGAAGATCTATGACCAGGTGAGTCTTGGCCGTCTTCTCGTTGGCCATGGGAGCGTGGACACAGGAGGTGATGGGCGAGCCCGTGTGGGATGCATGGGCGGTGTTGCAGCCGCGACACCCTTTTCCGGAGCCTGACACAGCGGACTGCTTGGAGCTCTTCGCTGGACAGGCTAACATCTCATCCGCTTTCGCTCAACGACGTCGGGGCTTCAACCCAGAGATCTGAAATTCAACCACGACCTCAAACAGCCGGAGATGCAAGAGGAGATCATCAAATGGGACAAGTTGGTGGAGGACTATGGCATCTTCGACCACGAAGTCACGGGAAGCCATGGCAGCAACTTCTGATGCAAAGAACCAGCTGCGCAACCGCAGTGGGTACTCACCAAGACAGTGGGTGTTTGGAACCCAGATGAGGCTACAAGGCGATCTATTCGATCGACCCGAGGAGCTAGCGAGTTTGGAGGGCATCACCGTGGATGAGAAGTTGGGCAGGAGACACATGATCCGCATGGGAGCACGGGCCGCCTTCTTTCAATGCCAGAGCAAACAAGCTCCGGAGAGAGCCATAGCCCACAAAACGAGGGTGGAGGAGAGATCCTATCTATGACTACAGAGAGTACAAGGGCAAGACTCGTTGGCTTGGGCCTTGCACAGTCATTGGACGAGAGGGCAAAAACTATTGGCTCGCTCGCGGATGTCGATGTCTTTTGGGAGCTCCTGAACATCTCCGAACCGCGCGCCATGAGGAAGTCAGCGAGGCCTTGCGCATCAAGATGGCCATGCGAGAATTGAAGCAATTGATGGAGGAGGATCCTGGCAGAAGAGGTAGACGTGGTGAGACCGCCACCTTCGGGCCCTGTGGAAATGGAGGTGGAAGAGGAGGATCCAGTGGCCAACCGGGCACGAGCGATCCAATCAGCTGCTCGCAAGGCACACGTCTTAGATGACGTCCCGATCGCCATCAAGAAGAACAAGACACAGCCATCGCCGGCTGAACGTGTGCATCAGCCTTTCCTCACCAAGAGGGCGAACCCGGCGAAGGGCAAGGAGAAGCAGTTGGAGAAGGAACTTCCGTGGCATCTCATACCGCCCGAAGAGAGACCACTTTACCGAGAAGCTGAACTCAAACAATGGAAAGAGCATGAGGACTATGGCGCTGTTCGAGCCCTATCCATGGCAGAAAGTCATGGAGTGCAAGAAAAGGTCCCAGCTGAGAGAATCCTCAACGCCAGATTCCTCTACAAAGACAAGAACCACTCCAAGAGAAAGCTTGACAAGTCGCTGGGACCAAAGCCCAAAGCACGCCTTTGCATCGCTGGACAATATGATCCGGATTTGGGCCGAATAGAGATGTCAACCGATGCACCGACAGTCTCGAGATACTCCATCGTGCTGGCACTGCAAGTGGCTCTGGCTCGGGGGTGGCGAGTGTCCGTGGGCGACGTCCGAGCAGCTTTCCTTAATGGACTTCCGGCACCTCGGAACCTCTACTTCAAACAGCCCAAACGCGGCATCCCCTCCCTGCAACAAGGGCAGATCATTGAGGTGCTCAAGGGCGTCTTTGGACTGTCAACCTCACCAAAACTTTGGTGGATGAAGCTCTCGAGTGACCTCAAGGCCATGGAGATCCAAGCTGAGGGGCAGAAGCTGAGACTTATGCAGAACATCATGGACCCATGCCTGTTCATGCTGCAGGATGAAAAGGCCCAGATTCGAGGCCTTCTGCTGACCACGTGGATGACATCATGCTCATGACCGAACCCAAGATCCTCGAGGTCATGCAGAAGGAGATCAAGAACAAGTTCCCTGTGGATGAATGGGAACAAGATGACTTTGAGTATGTGGGATGTGAATATCACTGTGAAGAAGGACACATCACCATCAAGCAGAAGGGCTATGCAGGCAGCCGGGTGGAGAAGGTGGAAATTCCACCTCCTGAACAAAAAGAAGAAATCGAACAGTGATTGGATGCATCTCATGGCTGGCCAAGCAAACGAGGCCTGACTTGCAGTTCAGCGTCTGTCAGGCACAACGGAGACAGCAGGCACCTACGGTGGGAGACCTCAAGAACACCAACAAGTTGGTGGACGCCAGCCTCAAGTACATGGACAAAGGCCTGAAGCTCAACAAGATAAACGTTGAAGACATGTGCATCATCACGTACCACGACGCCGCATGGGGAAACGTTCCACCACATGACCAACAAGAAGAAGATGCAGCGTGGTACGGAGAGCGCACGATAGCTTCACAACTCGCCAACCTGGTGATCATAGCAGACCACAAATGCCTCACCCCTCAAAGGGGGCAAGTTCAGTATGGTTGATTGGAAGAGCAAAGCATCACATCGAGTGTGCAGGTCAACCTTTGCTGGCGAGACCATGGCAAGCTGTGAGGGATTCGAGAATAGCGTCTTCCTCAGGACGCTACTCCTGTCCATGATCACTGGACAGAGTTTCGCAGAACATGAAGCCGGACGACTCATGGACATCCACCTCATCACAGGCTGCCGCTCCTTGTACGACCGCGTGCACAGGGAGGGAATCCCAAGAGCTCCAAGCGAGAAACGACTCGCAATCGATCTCGCCGGGTTGAGGCAAGGTCTGATGATCGAAGCCCAGCACCAGTGGACGAAAGAAAATCCCGATGAAACCCGACCTTCGCCTCAGAAGCCGCTCAAGCCTCGGCTACACTGGCTGCGGACGGGGGACCAAATGTCAGACATCCTCACCAAGGCGATGAAGGCCAGCGACTGGTGGGTGCGCATGGAGGCCGAGACGCTCACGCTGCCGCTGAGAGGGCATGCACAACGCGCACTAGAGAAGACCGATTTTTGAACGTATGTGAAAGCAATGCATTCGTTCTCGGCATGTGCACCATGTAAAGTTGGAACCATTTGTTTGGACGCCATATAGGCACAAGAGTCCCCGTATGTTGTGAAAAGGTGCGCTGTTGTCATGGCATGTCGTATCGGCCGCTGAAGCACTTTGAGAGTATGTATATAAGTGGGAAAATCCAATGCACATTGCGAGTGATGTCAGATTCCCAGTTGTCGTGATTGATTTCCTGCTGGGTGGGCATTTGATCCGCGTGGTTTGGATCAACGTCGCCAGGAGAAACTCATTGGCAGCGAGTTGGAAGAGTTGACCTTCGCCAACCTGCGCAGCATGGAGCGGAGCTTCATCCATCGTGCGGCCCAGGCTGGGGCGGTCTTAGTCACCAAAGGCGTTGCCTGCCACAGCGGAGGCCTCATATCTTTCCTCGCACTGCTTCCGAAGGAAGCTGGTTTGCCTTTCATGCAATAATGTTGATGAGCTTAGCAGGTGCTATACGCGCAAAAAAACATCAAAAGCCGTGCTACACTCGTTGGCAGTCTCAAAGCAGCTTCGCCCACTTCTGGACATTACTAATTGGCGCTCGCAGCGTTCTCAGGAGCTGGGCCTCTTCAGTTGCTCTCAGGGCACCGGCCTGGGCCGTCAGCTGCTGGTGCGACGAACGCCCCAAGAGGACACTGACGCGTTGGAGGTGCCAGTGGAGGCTCCCGAGCCACCGGTGGTCCAGCGCAGTGAAGGTCCCAGAAGCCGCAAGCGGAGGGGAGTGCATTTGGTGGAGAAGAGCATGCCCTTCTAGGCTCTTCAACATGACGCGAGACCGTTAGACATCAATTGCTCAGGATGGAGGAGGTCAATGGCTGGTATGGCCTGCTGCCCTCACGTAGTCTCCGCCTAGATCCCGCTAGATCCCGCTAGTGCCTGGCTCCGCATCCAGTCTAGACATGACGCGCGCGTGTCCTTGGCGCTCAAAACCGCACCGGGTGTCGGGTTTTGGCGCTTCCCGCAGTCTGGACAGTGGAACTGTTGTGAGCTCCGTGTGGAAGTACGCAAGCTTGTCCTGTATACGTAAGCGCTGCACAACCCAGGCTCCTGGAATTTTCAGCTTGGAGAGGATTTTGTTTGAATGCAATGTACGTAAAGTGATTGCTTGTCACATTTTTGTCACTGTGGCCTGGGCTCCAGTCTTGGACGAGGGAACCATCAATTCGACGGCCGGCTAGCGGCGGTTAGCGCGGTCATGGCCCGGCGGTATGACAGCCGGACAACGACCTTCTCGCCAGAAGGGCGCCTTTACCAAGTGGAGCAGCTTGGTGAATGACTCATGAAGACATATGAAAACATACTCATGAACTGGTTGGAGACTAGTTGGAACTAGACAATCTGGTCGGTCTTCAGGTGATCCACGGAAATGGAGCTTTTGTGTGGGAATTGCGCTAGCTGATGAACATTTTGCAAGAACGGACAGTCATGAGCCTAGGAAACTGTACCTATATACATAATTTCATTGCTGGGCCTCGTGATTTTACGTTTAAACATGTTTAAACAAACTGTTTTTGGATAATTACCTCCCCTCTTGTCTGACGCGCAGGTATGCCATGGAGGCCATCAACTTAGCTGGTTCCACAGTGGGAGTGCTCGCAGAGGACGGGCAAGTAATCGATGGAAGGGTGGTGCAAGTGAGTACACCAGCGCGATTAATGTCCGTCATTCTGTGTGAATTTGGCTTGGTTTCTCAGATGCCAGATGTACCTTGACATAGCATCCTGAACAATGCTTTGCTGGCATTTGTTGCGAGGATGGTGTGATCCTGGCAGGGGAGAAGAAGACCACCTCGAAGCTTTTGGATCAGGCCAAGCAACATGAGAAGCTCGCCCAGCCAGCTCAGAGCTCGCCGGAAAACGAACCAAACAACAGGATTCACACCAGGCCATGTGATGGCTGGCACAACCCACGCAATTCCGCCATTGAGCTATTGACGGGTGGTCATGGCCCATCAGTCAATCGGATACAGTATGTTCGAGACATGGGAATTCACGGGAAGTCACGATGTAGTCTAAGTAAAAAACCCATGTGCAATCTTGAAGAGGGCCATATGTTCGGGTCATATTGGCATGGGTGAATTGGGTGTTTGTTTGGGAATGTCGGGTGTGTTGCACACGGATGAGTTGCAACGAGGGATCTCACCCGTTCTCTTTCTGAGGAAGCTCTTCCAGCTCGATGACGCCATGTTCTGCGCTGTCGCGGGGATCACTTCGGAGCCTCAGACGGCAGTTCTCGGGTTGGTGGAGTGCTTCGGTCACTGAAAGCGCGCTGAAACTCCAGAAGAATCCTAGACCCAAGGTGAGTAGCCTGGCCAACAGCTGGGCCAGTTGGTCGACAAAACGGAGGTCACCTTTTTTGGTTCGCGGGCCCGGCCCCATTGGCGACACGCCGGGGCTAAATTAGGATTCACGTAGTTGGAAACAAGTCGACAGAATCTAGACGAAATATGGTGGGCTGCCGCCCATATGGAGCGGCTTGTGAGAGACAGAGATGGTGTATTAGAACAGAGCTCCACAGGACAAAGGAGCGCTGATGTGGCCTTGCCATTCTTCCGTGTGAGGACGCTAACATCCTCATCAACCGGCTGCGGCTGACAGCCCAGCAGCATACCTACAGCTTTTCAGAGCCCATGCCAGTGGAGCAACTGGTGACATCCATCTGTGATTACAAGCAGGGCAGCCTGTTAGCGCCAAAACACAAGGTCTTTTTTTTTTTTGGGTGGGGGGGCTATGAAGACAGATTTGGAGTTAGCTGTGTGGTTTTGGTTTGGGGAGGTTTGAGGTGTGAGGTTGGGTGCTGTTTGAGGCTACACTCAGTTTGGCGGGCTTCGCCCCTTTGGCGTGTCCTTCCTGGTGGCTGGCTATGATGCACACCACGGCTTTCAGCTCTACCACACGGACCCATCGGGAAATTTCAGTGGTTGGAAGGGCTACGCCATTGGGGTGAACAACAACACAGCCGCTCGTTCTCACAAGAGGTGGGATGGATTTTGAGCAAATTCGTGGGACCACTACTAACCTCCAAAGCACAACATCCAACCCTCCCTTGTTTGCTTTGGAATCCTGCGGGGCCTCGATGACCTAGCATGACCCGAGGCTATGCAAATCATGCGGCAAGATTGGAAGCCTGGGATGAAGCTCCAGGAGGCGCTGGACCTGACGGCCAAGGTCTTGGTGAAGACCATGGACACGGCCTCCCCAACGGCCGTGCTCCGGCAGAGGGACAGTTTTGGGGAGACATGCCACTGGTTCCAGGGCCACGGCTTCCACACAGACACATCTGCTATAGGCGATGAGGTTGGAGGCCGTTGCCATTAGGTAAACAAAAACCCAGAGTTTCCGGATGCCTCGGCTACAGTGTTCCATGTTGGCAACTGGTCGATCTTTGAGAAAGTGGTTGGAGCCCTTGCTGTGTAGCTTTTTGTTTGGACGGTCAGTCAGTCAGTGAGATACGAATGGGCCTACAAGCAGTGCCCTTGCGATACTATCGTTTTGTTATACAAGTTGCTCCAAGTGGTGAATTGCCGTCCAACATCCGTTCACCTTGTCACTCGTGTGAAGACCTGAGGAAAGACTTGAGTTCGGCATTGTGTACAAGACGCCTGAGGGCCAGGTGAAGTTCCGAATGCTCAAAGACACCGAGATCAACAAGCTCATGGCGGACGCCACGCCGAAGGAAGGAGAAGAAGCAGCCGGAGCTGCTACATCCACCTCATAGAGAGAGCTTTGGCATGCTGAGTGAAAAGATTCCACTTGCGAGCGCTGCCCAGTTGATGATGTTGATGTTGTTTGCAGTGAGAAGTAAGAAGCGCAGTCGACGGGCTTTCTTGGATGCGCCTGCCTGGCTCCAAAGTGAAGATAGTTGGATCCCCGTGCGCTGGGAGACCTGCCCCAGCACTGAAAAGAACGTCCTCCGCCTCAGACTAGGCTTCTGGGTGTTTCACCTAGCTAGTAGCGATGCCCTTGTTACTACTAGCTTCTTGCTACTAGTATGCCCTAGCTACTAGTAGCGTCCTTGTTTCAGATCACCCTCCATGCATAGTTGTTCAATCACAGAAGCTACTACGTAGATTGCGTCTTCGCGCCAGTGCAATGTCATTGGATTGGTCACAGTCGCATGGCCCACGTCATAGAGAGTAGAGAGGTCCACAAGAACAAGCACAGAGATGGCACCAAGACCATCAACGGAGCCCTGGCGGCTTTGAGATCGCAAGACAATCGCTTGGGGTAAGAGAGCGTCAATCCCTCTGGCGGGTACTTGGTACGATGCCAACACCCTGCCCTAAGATGGTATGTGAACATGTGTGAGCCGTGCTTTTGGGGGGGACCTTTTTTGCAATTGGCTCGGCTCCTGTGATTGCCAGAAGGCCGCTGATTGGATTGACATTAACCTGCGCTCTTTGATGAGTTTGTCTCACGCAGTGCGCCCATGGTTTGTGCTCACATGAAACATGAGGATCTTCCAAATCCCTGCCCGTCTGAGCTATCCTTTGGCACGTATTTCGTTTGAGACTTTTTTGAGGCTTCCGGGTCTACAAAGATCGCTTGGGCGATGGGAACTTTGCAAAAGTGAAGCGTTGTGAGGAGGAGGAGACTGGAAGGACCTTCGCCATGAAGGCTCGCCTCAATCAATGGGCCGAGAGTAAAGATTCCACCTGATTCTTGGGTGTTGGCCTTCCACTGATTCTTGGGCGTTGGCCTTCCCAAACTAGAGTTTGCATTCAACATCCTTCTACATCCAACGTTGAGTCGTCGTGGTAGTCGTAATGGTGGTGGTGGTGGTGGTGGCGGTGAATCCTTGGTTTTGGGGAGAGCAGCGCCAAGAGTCAGGGCTTGGAATCAGTAGCCAGTGGCAGAGAGACCCTTGTGAGGCAGGTGTTGAATACTGAATTTTGAAATATGAAATTCGTGCCTGAGAGTCATGTGCTGCAACCCAGGAGTCTCCCTCACGAAACCCAAGCCTTTCCACCTATGTGACATGTCTTAGGTTCCCGCGATCCTTTGGATGCAAATTGAAGTCAACACACCCCGTGCAGTAACAAATTCATGTCTTGCCGTAGTGCTTGCACATACAAGTCTTGTCAATATATGACAGGTCCACGGTTGGTGGGTCAACGGATCCTTGTTCCTGGTCGCATGTTTTATGGCAACGCTCCACTGGAGGGTCGGGGTTGGTCGAAGATATTGGTCACTCCAAGTGTCCAGGTCTTCCGCAAGCTGCCCCTGCGGCGGCAGCGCGAGTTCATGCGCTCGGGCGAGGGAATGACGGTCCGCACCCACCTGGACAAAGTCTATGGGGAGCTGGAATTGAGCCTGGGTTGGGGAGTCTTGTTGTTCGGTGGACCCTACATAACGCGTACTAGACTGAAGAGTCTGGAACCAGCCTGTGGTGGTTGTTGTTGTTGTAGTTGTTGTTGTTAATGAGTTGATCAAGGAATGCAATCCAAGGGGTTGGCTGGCTGGGGTGTGAGGGTGCTTGATTCGACCTGCAGAGTGGTGGTAACAAATTGCTGGTACTGCAATGCTTCGCATCTAAATTTCACAACTCGATCGCCATGCGCACACTTCATCGAAGAGGCTATTCTGCAAGCCTCAACCTACTTTGCGGCGTGCGCCCAGGATGAAGGGCATTACTCACCCGGGCTGTGTTCGACTCTACGCCATTTTTGATGAAGCTCATCAGAATGGCAAGATCTACGCGGTCCTGGAGAATCCTGGTTGCGCTTCACAGCCAGTTTTTTAGATGGTGCGCTTACAATTCATCAGCAGAGACCCAAGACTGAGACAGTTCCTGCCTCACCACCGCGGCATCATCGACGTGCCCGGACGCTGAGGCACGTGCCGGGTGGACAAGTCATGGACTGGGACGAGGTCAAGTGCCGCTTTTTTGCAGTGGGCATGGCGGCGCAAGAGGCGGATGCCTCAGGGCTCATCCCAGAGGAGAAGATGAAGGTCTACCTCTCGGATCTCTTGCATCCTGCGCCGCAACAGGTGGTCAGGGTGTGATGTTTTCTGGGAGGATGTGTAAATTAGTACTGTATGTAATATTATGTAATTAGTTTGCGGGTGTGGATGGTGCGTTTGTCTGCATCCACCTGGTATTGTGAGAGAGTGCATTGAACTTGGTCAGGAAAGTGTGTGCGTTATTTCTTTTGGGAGTTTCACGCGCCATGGCAAGTAAGCAAGATCTTGGATGGGGCCATCGAAATGGACACACCGTGACTGTATCACGTGACATCTTACAAGAAACGTCTCACAAATAGAACCTCCTTGTTCACTTTGCGCAAACTCAACCGTGACGTCACAAAACGAGGCAAGGACGCACCAGATGGCAAACAGGAACAAACGTCAAGCTCGGGGACTGCTGCATGTCTTGCGGCCAATTTCGCCAGGGAGGATGTTTGTTATTAGGTGTAGCTTATGATGCCATGACAGCTTGCGTCTGAGGGAAGCCCTGAGCTATTTGCATGCTGTGGCGATGGTGGCCCACAGGGACGTCAAGCCCCAGAACTTGCTTTTAGGCCCGGCCCTTGGGATTGACGCAAGGAGGGAGCTTGGTTTGGGGATGCCTTTGGCCTTTATGCTTTCAGGTGTGGTCTGCTCTTCATTCATGGTGATGTCAGACAATATCTCAGATTTTGGCGAATTCCGATGCAACCTGTTGGGAGTCCATTCTCATTCAAGTGAACTGGTGGTTTGGACCCCGGAACAAATCTCATGGAGACTCGACCCCTTTCGTTTTGTGCATCTCGACCCCGTGTGCTTTGAGCCAGATGGAAGCTCCACCTTGAAGCTGGGCGATTTCGGTGTGGCTGCCAAGTGCCTCAGCTGCCAGCAAGGGGACAGACTGACCCCGGTTCTGCAGGTAGACTCGAGACGCCTGCAACCTATGGCAGGACAAGATGACCATTCATTTCTATTCCTTGTTGAGCTCCCTCAGCTTTTCTGTAGCATAGTTGGTGCGGAGCCTGACCTGATTGATCACCACATGCCATCCCCCTTTCTCCAATTTGGTCGGTCTTTTCTCCTGGCATATGCCATGTGCCAAGAACTGTGGGAATCCTTCGGCTCCGAATGATCTCTTTTTTGGCTGCCAAGCACTACCCTTCAGCTCTGTGCAGACGCAACTTCACAACACCCCGGTCTTCTATCTGAAGCCGTTTGCGGAAGACGAAGGTACCACACGCACACAAGCTGTTCTGTAGGGTAACGGACTTTGTTGGACAGTGTTTGTCTTGGTCTTCCACTGACCTCACCTGTGGGGAAGTGCACCTGACCCTTGCAAATGCGAAACATGTATTGCGCACTGGATGGGATGACATTGGAACGTTCCTTGAAATGTATGAGTTGCCTCGAGGTAGGAGTTCTGTGGGTTGGCTTTGTTCCAGCACGAATCTTGCATCAAAGTCAAATCAAAGTTGATTTCCTGCCCCTTGTCACCACAAATGCATGATGCATGTGTCCACCAAGGATGGATGAAGACCACCTGGTGCACGGCACCGAGGGGACCTACCCGTTCTTTTCCCCGGAGATGTGCCAGACTGGCTACGTGGGCCATGATGGGCGGAAGGCAGACATGTGGGCAACAGGCGTTTGTGTTTGGGCCTTCCTCCTCGGCACCCTGCCCTTCCATCATGAGGACGGGAGGGGCCATCCCTGGTGTGGTGGATGATCGGTCCGGACCGGTTCCGTTCAGGTTTCAGAGTTGGGGGCCAGTTTCACACAAGCGCCCGGACAATTGGATATTGCTTTCCTATGCTTTGCTTATTTATAGAGGAAGCTTTTTGGCATTACTTAGCTGAGGTTGAGGTGAGCCCCCCTTAGCAATTCTTTGCAACAGGTGCAGGTGCAGATACATACGCATGCGAACAGCCTCGGTGACTCACCCTCAGGTTAAAACCATATCATATGCATCAACAACCCCGCTTCATTGGAGGACCTGGCTGCACTCATGGATGCCATCGCTTTTGGGGAGGTGGAACTGCCTGAAGGTGCCTTCCCTGGTGAATTTATGACATGGTGAGATGCATGGAATCGAAAGGCTAGCGTAGCACTTCTCATAATGGCCGGAGAAAGCAGCAACACTGGACTGTTTTTTTGAGCAACTTGTGGCTCTGTCAGTCTAATGACTCTAATGTCTGAAGCACAATTGACCCAGATCCTCTAGAGAATTCCGCCCCCTAGACGTGGTTCCTACTTGGTCTAGTGCTGCCCAGAGCGCTTTATTGACTGCTTTTCCTCGCTGCCTTATCGGAGGTAACACCTTGTCTGAAGACAGCCGCCGACTGCTCAAATGGTTGCTGTGCAAGGACAGCACGCCGGGCTCCGACGTGGGACATGGATGTCGACGCTGAGGCATGTGTTGCATATGATTGTACATGCACTGGCACGCATCAGTTTTGGTTTTGGAACGGGGGGGCACGGGAGTTTGACTCCGCACCAGCGTGCAGGATCCTGCTGCACGGCCTTTGAGCGAAGCGGTGCTCCTGGATGCAATGCTAGGCCAGGCGAAGAGACGACAGGGAAGAAGAAATTATTTCAATTCAGGGATGGGATTACTCTATTAATGGCCAGAGTTGCTTCCGCATGCCTCAGCCAGAGAGAGATGTCAAATGCGTGTTTCTGGGATGGACATGTTTTCGTTTGTTTGGGACCACTGCACTTTGATGATTCTATTTATATACGGCTTAATAAGCTACTAGGAACAAGTGCATCGCTACTAGTAACAAGTGCCTTACTAGTAGTAACAAGAAGCTATTAGAATTACTACTATATGTGTATATATATATTTTTTATATATTCTATTTATATATTCTATGTGCGCGCTTGGTAATCTCCCACCCAGCCTAGAACAGGCCCACCCAGACGCTCCTCGCTGCCAGAGGTGGAGCCCAGAGCCCTCACGGACCACTCCCTGCGTTGAGAAAAAGCGAGCGCTTCAAACCGTTTGGTTGGAGCAGGTCGGGTCAGTGTGGGAAGTAAGACTGTTGCACGACAATCCAGTAATTATAAATATAACTATATATAAATAAATATATAAGTTTTTCATATGAAGTGACGCCCAACACAGTGTCCTTCAAGAGCTGTTGGCGCCGAGGGACGCGGGTTCGGTGCTATTGTGATGCTGGTTTGTGAGGGATGCCGATGGTCAACACTCCGATCTCATTTTCTCACTTGTTCTTTCCCTCTCTTCGGTCAAGTGCAATATTCTTCCAACAAGGGGATTTTCATGGGTTTGACGGCTAATGTTCCAGAGAAAAGATATGGAAGCACATAGTCTTTCACGGCTGCACCCAGAATCGATTCAAAGACGACCTGAAGGCGAAGAGGTACACTTAACACCTTCCGCCCAGTGCCAATCTCCCAGTTTCACTTGAATACTTGGGCCCAAGGCGGAAGGCAGAAACTCCAGAAGAGGCACAAGGGAGTGCAGCAGTCCTAACATGTCCTAACAAGGTGCAGATGGAATTCAGAGCCCCTACTCACCAGAGGGAAGATAAGGTTGACATCAACAGTTCTGGCGGAAATAGCATGAGGGGCCGTGGCAACGCACTGGAACCAACAGAACAGAAATTGCGATCAGCAGTGTAGGCCTGTCAAAGGTTGCATTGCATCACGTATTTCTCCACCTGTCAGGTTGAGCTGCTCCGGCTAGGCCTTGCACAGATCGGCAAGTGACGGCAAAGTAGGATAAGTAGGCCTTATTGGCAAAGTGCGGGCCTGCAGAGGCCTACCCAGCATTTGATTGGAAGGATCGTCAGAGGCGTGCAAGAGGTTGAAGGATGCATTGGATGGGGGGAGCAGTAGATAAAAAGAAGAGAACCAGCTGATAGCTTGTTCAGTGCAGAACTGGCGATCGCACTTGTGCACCCCAAATCTACGGCCTGGGTGGTCTGGGCGTTCCTGTTTTCCAACCTGCTGATCAGTGGAACTGCAGCCACCAAAAGTTAAAACTCCTGGTGTGTGCTTGCCGCTCTCCTTGTGCCTGTGCCTAGGCCCAAAGCTAGAGGTCACGAGCCACTGAGCACGGCAAGCATGAGACAGTCTCAGCGCGCTCTCTCTCTCTCTCTCACAATTGCTTTGAAACTCTATACCATCCCCGCTTGAAAGCCTAGTGGAAGCAGCATGACGATTCCTGGCCTAAGTGGCACAAACACTGAGACACGAAGCTTGGTGGGATTTACCCCTGCCTTTGCAAGACCCCAAGATGCCCGATTCCTAGCTCAGAGACAATTTGGTTCAAATTTTGGGTCTCCTACCCTGACAGGCTTTTACTTATACAGCGGAGACGGGGTGGAAAAGGAAACGCGCTTTGGATGCGATTCATGCGGCTGACTGCTCCCTTGCGCTTGTGGGTGCTGCTGACCTTGGGGACTGTCAGGTCGAAGCCTGAGTGCTTGGAGTGCTTGGTGCAATGTTCCCGAGAACTGGCGAGTCACACGTCCCTAGCGCCGTCACGGCCGTCACGGCGGCACAGCCGCCGAGTGGGCTGAGTGGGCCGGCGGTGTTTCACGGTCCGAGGAAGACGGGGACGCTGCACTGCAACCGCCGTGCACGACCCGTCGCGATGCTTCGCGATAACGGTCCGAGGTGCTGGACCCCTGGCCGAAGAGGCGCGGCTGTGCTGCTGCGCCCACGGCTGCCCTTCACTGTCGATGCATCAGACTTGTGTTTTTCGCCCAGAAACTAACAGGGAGAGGTGCTGGTAGAGACTATTCCTCAATTGGCGAAGGGCCCTATTCATATGGGAGGTACACATGTTCGTTTCTGTGGCGACTCAACATGAAACCACCTTTTCCACGACCGCCTGCCCCTTCTGCCGTGAGCAGGAGCCCCCGCGCCCATCGCACCCCGGCACTTGGCCCTGCGAGCGGTGCGGGTGAACTATGACCTGGCACCCTGGCCGTTGGCCAACACGCGTTTCATGCGACCGTGAGGAAACGCGTGGTTCCTTCACAAGTCACTAAGCGAAACTGTTCTTGTGGGGTACGGTATTTATATATATATATACATATAGTTACTTAGTCCCACCATGTGGCACAATCAAGGACAGGAAGTTTTACAAACCTCATTCATAGCTCCCCAGCCACTTAGTGGACAAGTTGATAGTCAGGTCAGGTCAATTCTTTCGACAGGCATCATTTAGCCAGAGTTCTTGCTTCTCGGTAGTTTATGTTTGGATTGGCTCTTTTGCGCATTAAATGCTGCCTTTCTGCATTGTCTCAAGCTGAGAGCTCTTGCAAGAAGCTATTTGTGTAGGGAACTTGGCAAGCGAAAGGGAGGTTGGCCGAGCGTTTCTTCAGCCCACTTGGCTGGATGGGTTTGATGTTTCAAGACATCAAGCCCTGACATGCATGATGCAAAGATGGACAGCACTACAGCAATTGATGGAACCTTGTTCTTTAGATTCTGTTGCTTATTCCAGTGTTGTTTGTGCTCAGTTCTCAGGATGCAGACGCCTCAAAGGCTGCTGTTGGCTCCGACCGCGCCAACACCTGGGAATGGAGCACCAACAGCGCCGACAATGCAGCCTTCGAGCTGGTGGAGAACGCAATCCTCAGAACCAATCGCTGTTCTAGCTGTTTGAGCTGAGTCATAGCTGTCATAGCTCCCTTCTTTCTGTTCCAGACTTGGCCCAAGCCAGGTGTATGTTACAATATATGTGGCAATGATGATGGTCCTGAGAGAAAAAAAAAGCAAAAAGAAGAAGGCAAAGAAAGACAGTGAATCCGACTGACCAATGGGTGGCCGGGTGGCAGTTAGAACTACATAGCCTGTAGCGATGGACCTGCGAATTTACACTCACTGATGGCTGGCAGAAAAAGACAAGTGAGGCAGAATTGCATTTTCTCAAGCTGTTTTGCAACATGTCCTCCTACATGGAAGCTTACATAGCCTAGACACATCTACGGGAAATACCCCACTTCAACACCAAAACAAACATAGTTCACAACATTAACCTGACCCTATACGGCTTGTATGAACAGATATAGAAGGGAATAACTGATATAAGTTATTGGTGTTTCTTTGTTTCCTAGATGAGAATCGATGTTCGATGCTGAATGATCCTCACCACATGTTCGTGGCATCACCACAGGAGCGGCTGATGGAGTACATCTGGGCTCGGCCCTGGGAGATCTTACAGCGCCTGGCCTCGACACTGTGGATCGCCTGTGGAATCTGGCTTGCCTGGCGGGAGCGTCCCAAGGACGGAGAGAGCAAAGCTAGGCACCGCCCAGGTGGAGAGAGGATCGTCAAATGTAGCGGGCTTCTCAAGATCGGCGCGGAGGAGCCTGTGCTCCACCTAAAAGGTGCCGGTTAGGGTGAGACGTTACTATTTAAGGCTCAATTCTGAACGGCAAAAAAAGAACGTGTCCTTTTGCCTTTGAACACCGATCCATTTGCGGCAGGACACGCCCGTTCCCACGCTGACCGGCTCGCTGGCGCGGAAGGCGCCGACGACGGCGCGCGGCGAGGCCTTGCGGCGCGGCCTGCAGAAGATGGGCGTCTTCTTTGTGAAGATTGGGCAGACGGCGGCTCAACGGCCGGACATCGTCGGGGACGAGGTGCGGAGGGGGATTGGATCTGCCGGGATTGAGCTGGTTCTGGTTCCCAGGGTGGACCTAGCGGGTGTTGAACGAATAGCATTCCACCAAGGAAGGCATGCGACTGTCGTTTGTGCAGTGAGGTGAGCTACTGAAACTGTAATCAATTGCGAGATATTCTTGCCACGGTTATGCCGCGCTTCAATCGCGGTTGAATCCCCACCCGCTCTGTTTGCAGAGTCGGGAAAAGCCTCCTTAGATCCATCATGGAAACGACTTGTCTCGAACTTCCTTTTCTCAAGGTGGCAGAGGAGCTGAAGGGTCTGCAGGAACAAAGTACTCCCTTCAGCGATGAGTTGGCGCTGCAAATCCTAGCGGAGGACGCTGATCAAGCTGGAGCACACGTATATGTATATGTATAATTATGTGTATATAATATATATATATAATATACGTAGCACACATAGCTTTATTTATTGTGTTATCGTTCCAAGGTTTTTGATTCGGGGCTTGCTAGGAGTGAAACGGAAAAGGTTTATTTATTTGGCGTGTTTGGTCACCCATAGCGTACAGTAGCAACATAGGGTGGTGCATACCTCTGGTTGCATGATTTCTAACTAGTAACAAGGGGCATCGCCACTAGGAGCAAGAACGCCTCTATATAGTAGCTCCTGGCCGTACTACTAGGAGCAATGTTCGCTACTAGCAAAGGGCATCGCTACTGGTACGCCTTGCCTTTGACCCGATGTTTTGCCCCCAAAGGATTTGGGACACACCGGCCCACTGGCTCCGGGTGTCGTGGCCAAGAATTGCCATTCAGATGGTCCGCCCCTGCTGAAGGAGCTGCGCAACTGCCATTCTGCAAGAGTTTTTGTTTGTCATTCTGCAATTTTTGCTGAATTAGGAGTTAATTAGGACAGGGAGTCAGGGAAAAGATCCTGAGGTTGCTAGAGCATGCCGGCGGTGAAAGCAGAACCCAACCCAGTGGTTTCATGTGTGGGCATCGAAGCAAAGGCTCTCCCTCTTCTTCACTCTGAGCCGAAACTTTCACAGAGGAAGAGGATAGAGTTTCGCATGTCATGGCCATGCATTGAGGTTTTGAGCTCATCAGAATCTCAGGTTGAATCCCAAGTTTGTGGCCTCCGCCTCTCTGGGTCAAGTCTACCGCGGGCGCATGCATGATGGACGGGAAGTGGCGCTGAAAGTGCAGCGACCTGGGGTGCGGGACGTCTTGGGGCTGGACTGGGCAGTAGCCACTGTGGTCTCGAGAGCCCTGGCTGAAGATGGTTGCAGTTCACTCAGAAAGAATCATTGCGAGCGCCATCAGCGTCTCTTCTGACTCTAGTTGCACACGTGGCGCACACACTCACGCAAACCGGCATGATGACCGTAACGGGTGCACAGTGATTCACAATGGGGGGACAAAAAAAGACAGAGAGAGAGAGAGAGACAGAGAGCTAGGCGCGGGTGTTCTCAGTGGCTCCCCACATGCCCCATATGTGGCCTGGTATCATGTTCTTCCTGGATCGGGCCGAGGAGGCTACCAGAAGATCTTGGGATCTCCAAACGACTATGGCCAGGTGGTCGATACTGTGGCTCGGGGTGTCCGGATGGAGCTCGATTACTACAACGAGGTGGGGCAGTTTTCACCGCAGAAACGCCCGCAGAAACGGTCCCCCACGAATTCAATCGCAATGAAACGCCGGTGGGTTGGAAGTCCCCATCGTAGTGTAGATGCATGGACTTTCCCCAAGTGGTGAAACGATGTGAAACGTAGTGATGCCGAAGCCGGCATGAAGCCTTCGCCAGGCCGCTAATGCTGAAGAGTTCGCACAGCGCCATGCCTTCCTGCCCTATGTCACCTCGCCGGGGTGGATCCCGGAGCTGATGGGGCCCAGACAAACCTCTCGCGTACCCTGGTCTAGCCACCACTTAATGCTCTTTGTTGGGTCTTTGATGTTTCAAGATGTTTTAAGTCAAGTTTTTAGCTGCAGCATGATTAGTCATTATTATATAGTCTAGCTGGCCATCGTGCTGCCATTCTTGGGCTGAACTCAAGCATGGCACGGCTCATGGTCGTAATGAACAGCGCTGTTCACAGCCAGACGGGTAATAACTGTTTGTCATGCCGGATCGGCAGGTGCTCGCCTTGAATTGGTATCCCAGCCGGGCTCCCAAGGAGCTCTCGGTGGAGGAGCGACGACTGCTAGCAGCTTGGGCATATGTGGCACACGCCGTCGCTTCGGAAAGGCGAACTGATTGGGGAAGACCAGATGGTTGGATCATGTGGGGTCAGTTTCAAATTTGTGTGATGTGCATGCGGCAGATGGGGTCACCTGAGATATCAATGATATCATCGGGTTGCCGGTTTTTTCTCAAGGCATTCTACTGAGGGTGGCCCCCAACTAGGAAGTTGTTGAAGCGTTTTGTTCTCAGAATCTGATGAGTGGAGGAATGTACGGGACTTCAGCCCGCTTGCTGGCTGTGAGGTAACGGCATTCACTCCCAAATGCTACTGAACTCACACACACACATACACTCACACATACAGTATATAATCATGTATGTGTATATATATATCACGAAAGCTAGCGAAGCTAGCTGGAGTTACTCTTGCGATAGCAAGGTTTCTTTCGACTGGGTGCAAATCCTAACCCCTGATTTTTCAGGTCGAAG